TACCCTAAAATGACCCAGCACTTTGGATTTACCTCGAACCACTGACAAACCTTTCTCATGATCTCACAATGTCCACCAAGAGCCTCTTCCGATCTCTTTTATAATTATAAGTATGAAAACCAAGATGGTCACCGTCTCCTTGCGATGCATAGAAGAGGCTGACCTCATTTTCGCAACTTGGTCCTGCTGTCAGGTAGATTTAGTTGGATGCACCTTGTCCGAAGTTCTCTGCTCTACTAGCCATCGTAGTTCTCAGCGTCGGACCGTAAATTGGTACATTCCCAGACACTCCAAAAGATGAGTCTGACAAGCTGTAGCTTGGTCCTCCGAATGACAAGACTTACTGACGATGCCGGCGAAACTTCTGGGAATGTACCAAGTTCACGTTCCAACTATAGCAGAGGACTTCGGACAAGGTACCTCCAACTAAGTCGCCTTGAAAACGCGACCAAATGGCCAAAACGAGGCTAGCTCATTTCTCTTATAATTGTCCATAATATATCCTTTTTACATTTGTCTCATTTTGCGGAGTCCTTTTCATATTTAACGGCAATGTCTATGACTAAACATTAGGTCTGATTAGAGAGGACAGAGGAGAGGGTAAGATAAGAGACGAATTTTAGCAATTGGTATGGACTTCATCGGCCTGTGTCTCTTTCTGCTGTCATTTCATCAGGGTACAATTTGCCGTCTCTCATTTTACATAGTTTAATTCACGAAATATGTTTTGTCTTCAATGCAGAAATATGACCGTCATCTTTACACATATGTTAACTCTTCCCCACGAAAAGCTTGGTTGTGCACCCCAACTTGCCTTAACTTCGAAGCCGAATCACCTCGATTGGTACCGTCTTCCCATTTCATAGTTTATCAGACAAATGATAAGTCACTTGAGTATTTTCGTTATTCCTGGTTGTAGCAGCGGCATCCTGTCTGTATTGTCATACGATCCGACTACCATGCATCTCCGCGGTCTTTTCGCGTTTGTTAGCTCACAATCCCTGCTCAATTCAAACTAATACTCATTTTCACTTATATACTTCCGAGCCCATAAACTAGGACCTAAGGCAATGGAATAAGACCGGAGACAACGCCTGCTGGTGACTATCGAAAGAGCGGGTCAACAACGTGGATCCGTAATTTGGGACGCCTCTGGCTCGTGGCCGCACACCATAAACTGCTTCTTTCAGAGGATTATTTATTTGTAATTATTTACACAAAGTAACTGCTTTTTGTTAGAGAAATCAAAGGATGAATGTGAAAGCGATAGCAACTAAAAATGAAGATGTAGGTCAATTGAGGCTGGTTTCATCTGGCCGAATAGTTGAGGGTCAAATAGGAAATGAGAGGGCAGATAGTGGGACTTTTTTGTCTGATGCAACAATTTGCTCGGTGGCACTATCTTACACTCATCCATGCTGACTGAAGATTAGGCCGTCGAGGAAAGCATACAAACTTCAATGGGAAAATTAAGTGCCTTTTAAAGAGGAGGCAATTTGTAAAAAACATTTGAAGGGCGGCTCCACAGAAGAGCCACAGTTCATATTGCTCCAGGAAGTAGTTGGAGATACATAGCGGAATTATTGGGTTTGCTGGATTGCACAGTGACTCATGTTGTGAAGGTTAAAAACACAGGCTTGAGCAAGAATGAGTATTTCGGGCGTCCACCAGACAACCAGGCTTCCGAGCCAGTTTCTATGCCAATGGCCGTGGTGCCTTCACCTCCCAGTTGAAGCAGCCCTGTTCCACTGGGCAGAGGTCAAAGTCTGTGCAGGCGGTAGCGGTTCAGAGACCCTACCAAAATGGCCAGCTGGGGCTCGGTCAAGTGTATGCTTCTCTCAAAGTAGGCCATCTGGTTGCGCAGGTTCGACTGTGACTGATTGATCGGGAGCCAAGCGGTGTCTGTGGGAATGGGGCTGCTCAAATGGGTGCAGATTTGGTATTTATAAATATATTAGTAATTATATTTATAAACACGTATATATAAGGGATGGGGGAGGGGGGGGTAGTAGAGGGAGAGCGATGGAAGATAAGAATGATTGATGTGGAGATATGAATCTCGCCACCCCACAATGCACACTTTGGGCAGTCTGGGTGTTTCACTGTATGCAGATGTTGGCCGACGCGGTCAGGGCTAGTGAGGAGCGCCAAAGGTTGCTGGCGTCTGAGAGGCAAATCACCGTCCGGTGCCTCTGGAAGTTGCTCTAAACGAGCCAGTCAACGGAGCCAACAGCGCCTCGGTCTCGTCGCCAGTGCAGCTTGGATCGACAACATCGGAAGCCCCAATCAGCACCACTAAAGGTCTGCCGGCTGGTACTATCCTGAGGGAGGTTAAAGGCAATCATGTGGACAGGTATGAGTGCACGAATCTGACAAGATGAAGAAAAGTTGGGTTTCGAGGAACCTCTTGTTTCTCAATTGTTGAGATTACTTCCATTTCGAGTGGAAGTGTTGCGTGAAGAGATTCGAAGCTCGGTTCCACCAGAAGACGACGACGGATTTCTCTTGACCAGCTGTCGACTGGCTTTACTGGAACATTCATGCTGACGCTGTTTCCGAAGTGATCTCCTTCGATTTCGGTGAAAAGGTGCTAAGATCTCGTGCGTCACATGACGCACATCATCATCTTCACAACCAAATTCAAGCCAACGAGACATACACACTCACATGCATAGAAGTTGACATATGAGCGTAACTAACCAAATCACTTTATACTTGATCAAATAGGCCAGTTGTAGAGTATGTATACCACTTT